CTATTACTCTGTATAGTACCTTAGTGAGACGAAAAATAGCCATACGGCCTAGGGAAATGCTTAGCTCTTTATTTGTATACTGAAGATCTTGTTAATATGTAGAATAAGTCCTGAGTAGAATTGTTGTATGAGCAAACTTAGTTTGCTAACATACTGGATTGCTAATCATGGACTTGTTGACATGAGTGACTCAAAGGAAAAAGTTATAGTTTTGGGCAGGGACCTTAACTTGTCACCTCCAAACTTGTTGAAGTTGGCCAGATCTTCCAGTTACATTAAAACTATCAGAGTCAATAAATAAAACTCATAATAAAGACCTCAAATAGTTACTTGGTTAACTTCCTCAATCTATAACCAATCTCATCCTCAAAAGTATATGAAAAAAGTCCCCAAAATTTCCAGTTAATTACCCTGGGAAGTAACTGGATCCACTTGCCTATACTTGGCGTAGAAGAACTAGTATGATTAGTAAATGTACGTGACTAAGAGTAACCTTGTTCAAAGCTTTCCAATTCTCTGAAATAGAATTTCATTCTCATAGCTTGTGAGCATCTGCAGTATACATGTGGACTTTATTAAGCCCTCTAGTGTATCGCTTGAGTAACATTCACCTAATAGGTATTCTGGGCTAGAAGAATAATTGTTGATGATTCTCCTTGATTTTCTTTTAAAAAATTTATTCTTGATCGTTGTCTTATTTTTCCAGTATCACCATCATCTCATTTTCTTCTTTTCCTTTGTTTCTATTTTCCTACTAGGTCCATCTGAAAATAGAAATTTTGTGTGAGTTCTGACATCACTCAAGAAAAAATTCCCTCATGTTTCTTATAGTACAATAAGTATGTTTGTGTGTTACATCAGAGCAGGAATTGCATGGAATTTGAAATTTAATCAGTAGGATAAAGAGGGCTTGTTGTTATAGAGGATACAAAAAGTCTGATTTTTCATTACAAAACTGTTAAATTCTATAATATTGTTTTTGTTCAGAGAAGTTTATTATATATTAAAATGTACATTGCAGGTTTACCTCAGAAGCACTGTATCTATTAGCAAATACTATATAGTAGACATTTTCCTTCAATAATTATTTTAAAACAAAACTTTTTCATAGAGAAAATGCTTGCTGGAATTTTCACAGTCTGTATATTACTCTCACAGCTTCTCTGTCTGTAGAATAAAACCCCACCACTGTTGAGGAAATGAATTCAATATTGGTGCAAATCCTATGAATCTTAATTTACAAAAACAGTTGTACAGCTTTTTAAATCTTTCTTAAAATTGTTTTGGAATAAAAGGAAACAATACAAGATTTGATATAATTTGATTTTTTTAACCAATAGTGCCCTGTATGAAGGGCTGGGACCCACATTACGAGATCAAATTAATGTAGTTACACATGCAATTAAGTGTCCATTCTAACTGCTATACTTTTAAAAGTATTTTGATTATCTGTACATATAGTCTTCACAATTGAATAGTGTTGTCAGCCTACAAATGTATCTTTGTAATTCTTTTAGTAACACTTTTTTAAGTTGGTAGAATTGCTCTCCTATAGAAAATAAAATAACTCAAACACTAATTTGTAAGACTTTTAATAATTAAAGCATATTTTGTACTTGAATGGAAGCCTCAAGTAGCCTGTAGCAATGGCAGAAAGAAAAAAAAAACTATCTTATTTAGAAATTATCCACTTTATTTATTATTTTTATTGAATTTATTGGTACATTTTAGGCATGCAGTACAGTTACATTCATTATTGGGATCTTGTACCTTTACATGACAGCTCTTGGTTCTCATTTTTTTCCCCTTGTCCCTGCCCTCCCTTTAGAAACGATCCATTTTAGAAATTATTTTTGTTTTATTTAGACTCAATTGGCATGTGGTGCAGATAATTCTCATGGTACCATTCTCCTTCCTCACGTAGTCTGGACCCCATATATCAAGTTTAAACATTTCCTTTGGTTGAGAACACATCTTTGTATTTATATTTATTCCTATTATTATGAACAAAGTTTATTCATTTCCTAAACATTTAAAAAAAAGCCTGTTATGTTCCAAGAGCTGGGCAGTAGACAGTGGTATACACCCTGTTGTCTGGGAGTGTATGATCTTGGAGAAGGAAGCAGGAACATACATGAAGGGGTAAATGTAATCTGGATATGGAAGATATTCTGATATGGATTAATGTTTAGCACAGTTAACCAAGCCTTACAGAGAAGGCGATGCCTGCATAACAATTTAAATAGGGGTGAGGAATTAATGTGTCATGTCAAACAAAGGGCTAGCGTGTAGCAAGTCTCAGGAACTCGCAGCAACACAGTATATGCCAAGAGCCTTCAGTCGCTTGTCTGTGAGGATACAAGAGGTGCAGCACAGGCAGAAGCCAAAGGGTAAAATGTGTTAGCTTCGTCTAAGGGGAGGGTTCCAGTGGGAGAGTGGCAGTGGTGTTAGAGGTCAGAGAAAGACAGGGAGTAAACATAATCTTTGGATTTGGCTTTTATGAGACCATTGTCAACTTCCCTGAACAGTGAAGTCAAACTGGTATGAGTTCACAAATAGGAGAGGAAGAAGAAGAGAAATAGCACATGTACGTGACACTTTAGATATTGGGGGTGACATACTAAGTGCATTGGCTGGAGAGTGATGTATCGCCAGGGCAGGGTCCCTTTCCTCCTACCATGCCGCCTTCTCCACTTCGGAGTTACTTCAGTATATTTAAAGACGGAGAGAAAAGAACTCCTGGAAAGACAGGACATGCATGTACAAAAGGAGTGAAAAAGGAAAGAGGCCTCGAGGAGGAATAAGTCAAGGTGGAAGCTTGTGGAAGCTTAACCAGTAACAGCCGAGAGGAGAACTTGTATGATGGAGAAGAAAGATACAGATAGTGATACATGAGTAAGAAGATCAGGGAAAATTTATGTCCGTGGACTGTGTTTTTGTTTATAAAATGTTTATGACTTAAGACCCTCTGCTATAGATAGTAAGAAAAGCATGAAGAAAGAAGGACTTGGAAATGATGAAGAATTAGAAAAATTGTGATATGGGATGAAAGAGGGAGCTGTCCAAGACTGAGGAAAGCTAGACAGTTGGACACAAAATGACTCTGGGACACTTGTAATTTACAGAGGCAGTGATCTGTGTGTCTCTGTATGTTTTCAAGTGTGTTAATATGCTATGTCCATAATGTGTTTTTGTGAGTATGTTTGTGTATGTATATGCATTTTTCAGCCCTGGAAATAATTCCAGTCCTCCTGAGATAGTAAGTGATAATTTAATGTCCTAATGTTTTTTGGGCTCCATCTATTTTTCTGTCAGTGTGGTAGGCACTGAGGTTGCTGATTACTACTATTATTTCTACCCTTGGGGATACTTAGGCTAGTGGATGAGACCTAGAAGGAAATAATATGCTGTGTACTGCACAAGGTGCAGAGGTAATTTAGAGTTGGCAATATTCATATGCAGTTGGATGGAAGTGGAGGAAGTGAGTTCTTGAAAGTTTTCTTGGAGGAAGTGGTGTCTTCCCTCGCTTTATAGGAGGAGAACCATTGCTGGTAAGATATTTTAAGCTTGTGGAGAGCAGTACTAAGTCATGCATGTGGTACATGCTCAAGCCATGACATTATTGAGAAAATTCTGAATGCAGAACAAATTCAGGAAGGTAGAACAGCTTGGGGTTTTTGACTCTTAATTGACTTTTTTCTTATGGAGCCAGGTGTTAGGACCTAAAAAGATTTTTGAAAACAAATGCATTTCTTGAATACTTGGATGAGCTGTTTCTTTTAGTTGCTATCAAAAGTTGTCTTAATTATACTGTTTCCAAATAATTTTGGAAAGGTTTTTAAAATTAATGTTATGAATTGTAATGTTTATGCAGTACTAAATCTCATTTCTCTAGGAGGCTGAGGCAGGAGGATCAGAAGTTTGAGCCCAGCCTAGGTAACTGAGACTCTTTCTCGACATAAGATTTTTTGAAAAGGGATTAGGGAAGGGCTCAGTGTGAACGCCTTGGATTCTTTCTCTAGAATCACAATAGAAATGAAACAAGCAAACAAAATGAAATGAAACAAACAAACAAACAAAATCACTCAGAGTAGTTTCAGCCTTAGAAGAAATAATTTTAAAGTTTGCTATTCATGTTTCCAGTATATATTCATATTCTACACTCTTAATTTTCAAAATTATAAAAGTGCCACATGCCAGTGGACCTATTTGGGTCCATGAGAAAGTAACTAATCAAATTGTATTACATAGTGTCTTTGTCTCCGTGGAATGTAAAACTTAGTTTCTTAAGCCATATCTTCTTCATTGGCAACATTCAAAAAGAAAAAATAAAATACCGTTTTATTTCTAGCTGGTAAAAATTTTCTGAAAGTTTTCCACCCTGATTAAAAGAGAAAATAAGTTGTTAAATGCAAAAATGCCCTCCTCTAAGAGGAGTAAGCAGTCTTACCTTGCTGAGTTAATGGATCACCAGGCAGTAGGGTTCCCTCAGCCCCTACTTCCCAGCTTCATTTGGAATTGAACTTCCAAAGTACACCACACTGCCCAAATCAAATTGCTCACTTAATATTTAATGTTTCTGCGATGGAATCACTTTCTCCCTTGAGGTTGACTTCAGATTTACCAGACACACTGACAACACTGCACTCCTTATTTTCCCCACATGACCTCAGCTTCTGCTTTAAAAATGTCAGAATAAAGGATGCTTTTGTTCATATCTCGCCTGCCTGTGATATATTGACAAAGTGTCTGCCGGCTGAATGGAATAGTTTTACAGTATGAGTGCTGCTTTCAGCGGAGGGGCAGGACTTAGGCTTTAGAAGGAAGTAAATTGGATAGGTCAGGAGAATGTACCATTTGTAAACACCCCTTTCCTTTTTTATTCACGTGTCAGGACAGCAGGAGCAGGCTGTTCAGTGCCAGTCCCTGCACTAAGCTTGAGGAAAAGCAGCTTGGAAGTCAGCTGCAATTTTTAAACCTTGCATTTTATTCCTTGGTAATGATCTTCAAGTGCTTTGACTTGTGTTAGGAGCTGTTTTGAAACTAACATGGTTTAGTCCACTAACTGCATGTTGGGTAAATTCAAAACCCACATGCTCGTCCTCTTGCAGTGGAATAAGTCACATCTGATGGACATTTTCTGTGCTTATAGCATAGTAATGAACGTCTGACAGGCACGACCTTTCATAAGACAACCCACACTATTGGCTTTTTGCCCAGAATATTGCTGCAACACTGTCTGTGATTGGTTATCTCTCTATCATGCATTGCTCTACAAGGGGAAACGGCCCCCTTTTTTAATAAATCTACGATGGCTGGCTGCAATATGTCTCACTGTAAGTATTTTTTGTGTGTCTGTGTGGGAGAGAGAGGGAGAGAAAGCGGCTGACTTTGACTGTTGCTTAGTCTGGTATCACATGGCGAGGTTGTGATACTGTAGGACATCAGAGAAGTACTACTTAGTAAATCTTAACCTATCTCTTTTTTCTACAGGTTGGTACTAAGAAGTGCCTTTCCTGACGTCTCTGCTGCTTGGAACCGCTTCTAGAGCAGTCTCTGCTTTTGCCTTGCTTGCTGCCAGCTAGACTGTGACGACAGCACATCCACCCTCCACCTCTAGCCCAGACACCCCCATTTCTACTTATAATCAAGAGAAAAGCTCTAAGTATATCTGGCATTGCCCTAGGCTGCTTTAGTTTTAAAGGAAAAGGTTGCTGAAAAAGTAAGATATCTTCTGCCAGGAAATCAAGGAGGAAAACAAAATCATTTTCTCGATTTTGCTCTAAACTGCTGCATCTGTCTATGCCAAACTAATCAATACCGATTGCACCACCAAACTCCATTGCAAATTCAGCTGTGAGGAGATTCCCTTTCAGACAACTTTGCTGAAAGCAGCTTGGAAATTCGGTGTCAGAGGGTCTGCCACGTTTTCATGCTTGCATTTTGGGCTCCAAATTGGCACTGGGAAGGGGTTACTGAGAGCACAAGGCTGATTCCAGGCCCTACTTTTAAGCATTCATCTACTTATAATTCTAGTATTTCTCTAAAAACCAAAACCTCTTTGAATTAACAGTTTCATGCTGTGAATTTCTAGTAGGAGATCTTTTCCTTGATATTGACAATACACTTTTCCATGTACTTTTAAAAGCAGGGAGTAGGGGAAAAGTATTTTGAAGGGGACATTTTCATCATTTTACAGTTTTATCAGTTCATCTTTTTTTTGGTTGTTGCTGTTTTTTTTCGGTGGTTGGGTTTGTTGGTTTCACTGAAAAATTTAACTACCTGTAAAATCTAAACATGGCTGTTAATGTCACACCAATTCGGGATACAAAATGGCTAACACTGGAAGTATGTAGAGAGTTTCAAAGGGGGACTTGCTCACGGCCAGACACGGAATGTAAATTTGCACATCCTTCGAAAAGCTGCCAAGTTGAAAATGGACGCGTAATCGCCTGCTTTGATTCATTGAAAGTGAGTAAATATTATATTATTGTAAGGATCTGCATAATTGAATAAAGGTGGTTTGGACATACAGTCCTCTGATTGGGGATTGATTGCATTGTTAGTTTAGTTACTTGGTATGTTCTTATTGATGATGTTGGGCTGGGAAACTTTATGAGTTATGATAAAACCAAGTCTAGACAAACTTTGTTGTGAATGACTTATCAGACCTTAAATAACTCCATGACTTTTTTTCTAGAACAGAATTGTAATTATAAATTTGATGTAGTAACAGCAAAATTGATGTCAGCTTGGGAGTGGAAAATGTAGGCCTGTGTATATTTGACATATGTCTATATTATATATGAGGCCATGACAATAGCTGAATGAAGATTTTTGTTTTGTTTTGTTTTTGTTTTTTGGTAAAGGTACTGTATTGTAAGAGAACAGCAAAAAAAAAATCTTAATTTTTACCCTTTTAATATTTTGACATTTTGGGTTTTCTTTTTTATTTTATGGGCATATTATTTTTAGGGCAGCAGCCATGCATTTTATGAAGTAAATATATAAGCCAAAGTGAAACCCCAAACTGCTGCCTATAGTACCTTATTTGGAGCATAAACTTTGTCCATTGTGAGTTATACAAATAAGTAGAAACTCTCATCAGTGCTATTTTAATTGGATTTTTCAGTCTCAGAAATTCTAGTGTGAAATAAGCAGTTTATTTTCTGTTAGATTGTAACTAGTTTTTATTTGTAACAGTGTCAGCTAGACATATTTAAAGTTAGCTTTGTGGGCATTGTAACTAGAAGATTTATTTTAGCATTTCTTGACATTCAGAAATGTCATTGGACTTATAATGCAGGTATCAGGTTTGAAATTGGGTGTTTTAAAAGATACTATATGTGTCTTTTCTTTGACATGCAAGGTCATGACTAGAAATGTGTTCTTGTGTAGTCTAAATTTACTTATTTTATTTAAATTACTTCTGAATAATAGTGCTCCAGGGAAATTTTCTGAAAGTGTGAGGTGGTCACTATCATATATCCATATCTACATACAGGGAAAAGTGAAAGTCTTAGAGATCCATCTTGTTTTTTAAAATACTAATAGTGCTATAATAATATGCCTTTGAAAATAACATCATGGTGAGATATAAATTAACTGTTTCAATTGATTGCTTCTGGATCTACTTTGGACTGCTCACTTTGTTAAAGTTTTGCCAAAGATTCCAAGGATATCATCTTCAGAGCAGGGTAAAAGGAAGGTGTTAACAGCCAGAAAATTCTTAAAATGTTAGATTATTCTTAATGTTATAGTCCCAGAGATCATTCAGCAGCAGTTGCACATTAACCCTTTCTCCTCTATCCTCTGAAAGGCATTGATGAAGGGCACAGTGGTTGTGCCTTTGTGACTGTGTATTCCTAAATTCATGCTGACTGAATTCAGGTATAATTAGACTGGGACCCATAATATGAGGGACAAAAGGCTAATTGCTCTTGTCAGTAACCAGCTGTGTCCATGAGCAACCCTGTTTTGATCCAATTACTAGTAAATCTGACTTTTAATCTTACAGACAATTGATGGTATACTGGTAGCTACAAAACTAAGACCTTAAATTTGGCTGTGACACTGAGAGAAGACCTGCCTCCACAGCTCTTGGAAACACTGTGAAACATTAATATTCTGTTGCTATTTTTCCATCTCAAAATATTTTTTTAGTTGCTGCTCATTTGTGGCCACAGAACAGTTCCCCTTTGAGTAAAGCAGCAGTGTTGCTTAACGACAAGCTCTGTGGTTAAGAAGATTCAACTGCCACAGTTTTTAAAAAACTGTAAAATTTCAAATTTATTTGTGAAATAAATTGTTATAGCAGCTAATTAGTGTAAAGTATGTCCTTTTTGTCTTAAAATATGAAAATTTCTAGTATCTAAAACATGGTAAAATATTTGGATTTTAATAAGAAAAAATAGGCAATTTTTTTAATGATGGAGCTTCATACTCAGGACAGGAACTCCTGAAATGTTAGTGAAGTAACATTTTCAGAATTAATTAAAACAATTCAGAATATGCAGTTTTAAGTACCCACGTTTAAAAAAGTATGACCTATTATGTAATTGTACGATATTTAGAATTCTGTCTTTTAGATAGTACTCTTGCTGTATTATATCTAGTGGCATGAATAGATCAAAAACACATTTTAGAAGTTAAAGTAACTGACTCATGCTTAAAGTTTTGAAATTTGGAAGTGTTATGAAAGTTCCATGCCAGTAACCGCTAGATCACTTGCGTTGTCTCAGAGAGTAAATGGAAGAAGTTTAGAGGACTTGTAATACCCTGGCTTCTTTAACAAAATGTGTTCTATGTATTACTGAAATCTGTAGTACCGCCTCTTTTGAGTTCTTGAGCCACGAGATGGAGGTAGCCTGTGTAATCTACTATTTTTAGAAAGTTAGGAAAGCAAACCAAATACTCTCTGAGAGGACCCTGTGAAATGGCTGTACCCTTCAGCTGTGCTGCTTCAGACTTTGGCCAGGCTCCCAGGTGACTTACGTTTATGGCAGACTTCTGGTTACAAGAGGAGAATTTGTTTCATTAAGAAAGCATGAGTAGAATGGTTCAAGAAAGTACATAAAACAAATCCATTGTGTATTACTAAAGATAAGAAGAAAACATGGCTGGTCACACTTCTGTTGAATCCTGGTGATTTTAAGGTTTTAAAAATTATGCTAGGTTAAATATACTACAGGGGACTGTAAAATTCTTTAAACATGTTGCTAAGTAAAATGAGAATACATGGTAGTGCAGACTCTGTGTTAGGTATATCAGAATTAGACTGATGAGGAGAGCAGTAAGTCTATTTTACCTTTACCTTTTCAGTTTTACTTTACAATAGTAAAGTATAGTCCGCCTTAGACTTCATGTGCTTGCAAATTATAGATTTGGGTTTCTTAGCTAACAGAAAACCAGAACATTTGAAAAGGTGCATTGTTTGTGATGAAGAGGATTTTTCTCTCCATGGCTTATGAAAAGAACAAAAAAGAAAAAAAAATTTTTTTAAATGCCATGACTGTAAGCCACCATTAGAATGCTGTTTAAGAATTAATTTTATAATAGTTACAGTGACAAGCTACCTACTTTCTTCAGTCACGACCTCTGAATTTCAAAATTTAGACAGTTTAATAAGAGTTTATGCAAAGGGAATCTACAGAATGTATTTTAATGTGATACTGAGTTATTTATATTTCAAAAAATAAACTGCCATATGATCAAAAGAAATATATATATATTATTTACTGAATTATCTTTTTTAAGTATCTATTTTTGGATGAGGGAGGGAGAAAACTTTAGGAGATTATTCTCATCAAATGGTGGAAATATGTTTAGAACAATTCAACTATCGCTTCTTGGCCTTTTGGCTAAGATTAAGTGTAGAGCAATTCAACTTTCATTTCACTATTATACATAAATATATTTATGGTTATAAATACACATATCCATTGATGAAATTTATCACAGAGACCTCGGAGATTAGATTATACTGCAAAGGGTCATGGACTCAAGGGCATTTAATGAGCACTTTTAAAGTGCCTCTGAGACTTAGCAAAATATGTAAAGTATGCACATCTGGTATTAGAAGGCTCACAGATAGGTGAACATAGTAAACAAGCAACGAAAAGACTAACGATAAGGTAAATCACGTCTCTGGATTCTCACATATGAAGTAGGTGGCATAGAGAAGTGATAAAGTTGCCCCAAAAGTGTTCATTTTAGAATATCTCTCATCATTAGTACAGGATACCTTCAATCCAGAAATTGCTTTTGTTGCTGCTCTTCTTTATAAACCACCAGAATAGACTTTATACTATATTTAAAACAAATATAACTGATAATCCTGGGAAAATGCCTGCTGTGCAAGTTCCTGATAAACACCCAGTTTTGAATTAACATTTTTACCTAGTAGTTTCCTAAGAGTTTTATTTTTGTTTGCTTTTGGTAATGACATTTCTTAGGGTGTCCAAATTTTGACAAATTATTGTATCATATTTGTATGTAACTCTATACGCACAGGTATTCAGTATGTCTTTCAGCTACAGATTGACAGAAGTTCCTCATTTTTCCGTAGTATCTTTAAAGGTGAGTTATCTATCAGGCACCACTTGTGCATCAGTGTGTGTGATACCCAAATTCACATTGTATTTCTGAAGCAGATACTTCACGAATCTGTGAAGTTTTCCCTGTAAATATGCCAGGATATTATTGATTCTAATGTGAACATTTCTTTAATGAAATTTGTAAAGACTGCACCTGCTTTGACAATACTAATAACTGTATTCATGTGACTAAGTTCTGATAGAAAGTCTTTAGAAAAAATATTTTTAAATAAAGGCTTTTTAAAACTATTGAACAAATTTCAAGACATTGTGAATCAAACCATTTAAAACATTATTTCTACAATTAGTTATTTTTTATTTCATAAGATTTTGATACACTGCATCTTTTCTTTTTCTCATCAAACCTTGGTTTATTGTGAGGGTGAGGCATACTAAAAAGTAAACATAGGGAAAAATATTACTTAAAAATTGGGTTCAAAGTTTTGGTTGTAGCTCAGACATGTAAAACTACTGAAAATTCCAATTCCATTGAAAAGCCTCACAACAATTTCATGCATAGGCTGTTACTTAAGAGTCCATACAATGCAGGATAAATCTCCAGTTAGAGAATTGTGCAACATATACCCAGTTCATGTGAGAAGTGTGGCATTTAATGTTTATCAGACCAACACAGACACCTAGGGACCTAGTTTGGGAAGCCTTTTCCTTGCCTAGGATAAGGAGAGGATTTCATCTATCAATGTTGCTAATCCACTACCTTTCATGCTGAGCAGTATCTCTGCCTTCCCACAGACTTAGACAAAGCTTCTTATTTTGTTATAAAGAGATCCAATTGAGGGAAATTTTAGCTTTTTAAAAAGAACTTTAGCAGAAGCACTATTCTGTGGTTTTAGATAGGGAACAGGTTTTTGTGTT